GTAAGCCTCGATTACACGACGGAGGTAGGTAGGCACCCGATGATATCGGAGTGCCTCCAAGATGCAGCTCCAGGGCAGGGAGTTGAAGGCGTTGGCGATGTCCAGAGACACCGCCACTACGACCTTACCCCTGGACACTGCAGTCCCCGTCGTGAGGTCTCTAACGCGCATGATGGCGTCCACCGTGGAGCGCCCTCTGCGGAAGCCGAACTGGCCGTCCGACAACTCCGGCCCAATGTCCGTCAGGTGCGCGACGAGGCGGTTCGAAATGATTCTTTCGAAGACTTTTCCCACCTCGTCGAGCAACACTATGGGCCGGTATGCGGACGGAGAGTCCGCAGGGCGCCCCGTCTTCCGCACGAGGACCAGTTTGCCCGCTTTCCAGAGAAGCGGGAACTGGCCTCTCTCCAGACATGCGCTGTAGAGACCAAACTATAAATAGTATAGGAATGCTTTTTCTAAAAAAGGGTTGCAGTGACTCTTTTCTGACTTTTTTATATACTTGATAGGTCGACGTTGTGCCACCATCTCGCCTGGTGCTAAGGCCATAACGTGGCCAAGGATGGAGCACGCCTTTGTTAGATTAGATTCAAAATAAAATGATGAATGAATGGAATGGAAGGTTAGCAAAGAATTTAAGAGCAAAATCCTTCAGATTTTCAGAGCAACGAAACACAGCTTAACAAAGGCAAATGTGAGTGGTTTTTTTTCTAATCTAGAAGTCTTTGTTCGTTATATAATAAACTTAAAGAACCGAAGTTTAAGACTCAAATCACGTTCGTCACCCATGTAGATTTGTGACAACTCTTTGGTTTAGTGGTGATAAGTAGGTAAGGGTACTAACAAAGTACAATTTTAAGCATTCATGCACATAGTACTACTTCTTTTCACAATTTTATGGAACACGGTTAGCGCTGTGGCTGCGCATCGTTTTTCAATCCACAAATTGTTGTTTTACTTTTGGGTGTCATGTGTATGTGAACTTGTATGTTTGTATATGCACTTACGAAATAAGAGAAATTCCTAGTGTGGGGCAACGTTAAAAAAACTTTTATATAGAAAAAATAACTAATTAATTGACTTAATGGACCTTATCATGAAATTGTCGAACAATTTTAAGAAATTTATCTAAAAAAATTACACAAGTTACTACTAGACCAGCCCACTGATAAAGTCCACCAGTAACTGACAATAAGAGTCACTGTATATATATACCTAACAAAATTTAAAATTTTTTCAAGTCCATCATATTTTTTCCTAAATAACTAAAACCCTTGTTAACCCAACCTGTTGCAGCGGTGCCGATGTGTGCTCCTGAATGAGGTTTCGCAGACAGCAGTCCTAGACAACCGGGAGCTGCAGGTCGGATGAAGGGTCCCCCGTCGGCAGCAGAGGTAGCGGTTGAAGTGAGACCTGAAGACTCCACTGACGCAGTACAGTGCCACTGGATTCACGCAGGAGTTGAGAAAGCTGGAAAAGATGGGTGGTTAGATTTTCTGTAGTTATTGGTGAAATTAATACATAGGTAACAATGTCTAGAAACGCGAGCGCATTCGCTCGCGTTTCCCTTGGGATAAGTATTAAGTAAGTATCCTATGTTTTATTACAGACCATAATCTAGCCTTGTTCCTATTTTCATTTTGATCCCTTCAGCCGTTTTGAGGTGAAAGAGTAACAAACACATAAACGGTTATGATGTGTTTTAACTCGTCGAGTACCGTCATTATAGACACAATTATAGAACAATAGGTTGCGGTCACCTGTGACCGCTTGGTGTTTGACAGTTAAACCAGTTTAGAGATCCTATATCAGTCCTGTATTCAAAAAGATTTCTTTCTAAACGGAATACTATATCATGTGCATGAAATAAAAAAAACTATTCTATTCCATGATTATGTGTATTTTTTTATAATGTTACATTATTAATTCTCCACGGACTCTTGGTCCGTGCCCTTGTTAAGCACATTGATTATATTAATTTAGTTTTCATAAACACTTCTGTTAAACTTTGTTAATGGCGAGCTAAAACCTTATGTATGTGTATGAAAAAAAAATTAAAACGCTTGCACTATAAACTAAACACTCACAAAATAGCTTCCAAATCAATCACCCAAACACTATATATACCAGGCTATAAAAAACTAAACCATTTTATAAAAGCTACACTTTATTGGAAAACGTAGCGTATTGCAGAGTCGGCAGCAGCTCAACCCACTACAATCTATCAAGATTTTTCGACTTTATATTAAAAACAATAAAGTTGAAAATCTAACAAAGACATGGACGCAAAGGAGTAGATGGACCTGCTGGCTACTATACTAACAGAATTTAATATCTATGGAACTGCTAACTCAACATGGGTATTGACCTTTTATGACCTTGCTAGGGAAGTGATATTATTCAAACTGTTTGACCTACCCCATAAATAGCACCGGTCATTCATATATCAAGTTGGACCGCACACCTAATCTTTGCCAAGAGCAGTCGAGAGTCTCGGACGCTTTGTCTCTTCAAGTGAACGAGGATTGTAAATATTCAAGTTTGCTGTCTCCTATTGACTTGTTCTAGTCTTCTGAATGAATGGGTTGAGGTAAATATGGGATTTAAAAGGAAGTGTTTAACTTTTTTAATATTTTCATGTGAAGGAAAGTTGAGTTAGACATAATGTTTCGTAGCTTTTGTTAAAACTACACCTAAACGATATTCTGTTGACTGGAAATTGATAATTTTAAAGTCATTTCGTGTATCTTTGTGTCTCTAAACTTCCAGCATTATTTATTTACCAGTACTAACTAATAAAAAAGTAAAATTGAATCCAAAATAATTATAATTGCTTTAAATTCTCAATTAATTGTTATTATTTTGTCGTCACTTCTGTCAATAAAAGTCAATTTCTATCGAGAATTAGATAAGTAATTAATTTTATGAAAACAGAACTTCTAATTGGACTTAATTTTACTTACGAAATATTTTCTGAACTCCTTAAAATCGCTGTCAATTTCCAACTTTCTCCCCCAAAATAATTGGAGTGATTAAATTCGTTCCATCAACTTTATTCCCAAGTGGAAAAGACAATGTAAAAATTTGAACACTGATTTGGGAAATGGATCAAAATGTTCGAACCAGGAGATAAAAATCATTGTTTTTTTGATGACTGGAATAATATTGTTGGCCTATAAATCGTTTTCTTGGATCTATTTTTTTTTATAAAAACATGGCACATTTAAGTTTTCGTCCAA